GACAACAACAACAAAAACCACCACCCACATTACTTGATGGCTCAGGCGTGCGCAAAGCTCCCGGTTCAGTTTCCCGCGCTGGAACTTTTCCAATAGTAAACGAGCAAAGCTCCGCGCGCCCAGGTGGCGCGAGCGCTAGGATCTGTCGGTTGGGGTCCTACTTTTACATAACGCCCCCACAATGCCCTTCGCCTTCCTCTACGTGGCCCCCGCTCCAAGCCCATTTTCTGGAGCTAGGAATCCACTCTCTGGGTTAGGAAAGGCCCTCAGGAGGCGGAGGGAAACCTGTGGAATGCCGAGAAGCCGTGTAATGAAATAACGTCACGCCTGCCCCTCACCATTACTCTGACCAGGGTTCGAAGGTCACACTTAGAGACTAAGGGGAAATGGAGAAGTGCAAGGGGACGAGCAGAATGGCTGGCACCACCTCAGGTTAGCGCACTGGGCCGTTCTGGTTCTCACACCGCCCAGCCCAGCCCAGCCCAGCCCAGCCCACCCAACCCAAGTCCCTACGCATGGAGCCAAGCCGCACCTCTCGCCTCATGAGGCCGGAGCCCGGAGTAAAACAGAAGGCCCGTCAAGGGCCTCTGGCGGGACTGACTCGCACTAGGGGCCCAACAGGCAATAAGGACCCAGCGCATTGGCCAAGGATAGGCCAGTCCCCAGGGAAGCAGCACCGCGCCGGGACTAGAGGGCAACTGTGAGGAGAGCTGCGGGGAGGGGTCCAGCCTGGCTCCCTCCTTTCCCCGCCCTAAGTCAGCCTCTTCGCCCAGTGAGCACACAACGGTATTGCCCAGGCTCCCAGGCCCCGAACGCCATACCTGGTTTCCGCTTCCGGTGGCTTCTCGTTGCGCCCCGCCCGCAAGCGTCCTCCTCCGGGGCTTCGTGACAGCCAGGTCGTGCGCGGGTCATCCTGGGATTGGTAGTTCGCTTTCCCTCACTTAGCCGGTTTCTCTCTCTACCGGGGACTCCGCGTCCCGGCATCCACCGCGGCACCTGACCCTTGGCGCTTGCGTGTTGCCCTCTTCCCCACCCTCCCCAATTTCCACTCCCCCAACCCCACTTCGCCTGCCGCGGTCGGGTCCGCGGCCTGCGCTGTAGCGGTCGCCGCCGTTCCTTCGAAGTAGCAACTTCCCTACCCCACCCCGGTCCTGGTCCCCGTCCAGCTGGTGAGTCTGAGGTCTTCGCTGCTCCTAGTCCCTTGTCGCTGGGAGCCGCACATGGGTCTCCGCACTTTGATATGGGGGCGGGGGAGGAAGCAACCAGGTCCGGCAAGGAGGGAGAGGTGGCTTGAGGAGCGGAAGGGGGGATGTGTGGAATCCGGTGAAAGGGACCTGACAGTCGCCCTCAACCCTTGAGAAAAGGAGAGGCCCGATTCTTGCTTGAGAGTGATAAACTTGGAAACCCTTGGGAAAGGCGCCGGGGTCGTGCAGAGACTTGCATTGGTAGGGAGCCTGAGTCGAGGTCCCTGCCGGAGTTGACACAGAGAAGAGAGGGCCCTGGCTTTCGGGAGCTCCAGGGACGTGGGTCGGGCTGGTGGGTCAAAGTATCTGTTGGCTTCTTTCAAGTGGTGGGACCCCAAAGAATGTTTAACTTCAAAGGAAAGGGACTGAGATGTAAATTGGAGGAGTTGGAGAGGAGTGCTTCAGAGTTTGGGATCCTTTAAGAAAGGGTGGTTCTAATGTGGGAGGAGGGAGGATACCTGAGGCAGGGAAGGAGAACTTGAGCTTTACTGACACTCTTTTTTCCAGCTGACGTGAAGATGAGCAGCTCAGAGGAGGTGTCCTGGATTTCCTGGTTCTGTGGGCTCCGTGGCAATGAATTCTTCTGTGAAGTGAGTTCTCTTCGACCTCCCTACTTGCTGGCTTCACATATCTTCCCACCAGATGTTCCTTCACGTATTCCACTTCTACACTGTTCTCTTACATACTACTTGAAAACTTCCCATCAACGAAGAGTCCCCTCAATAACCCCCGACGAACCTGTGCTAAAGTGACAAAACTGGGGCCCAAGTTCCGACTCTGCCACCCTCCAGCAGGCAATTAGTGTCTTTTTCTTTATCTTTTTTTTGAGACTGGGTCTCACTGTGTCGCCCAGGCTGGAGTGTAGTGGTGCGATCTCGGCTCACTGCGACCTCTGCCTCCCAGGTTCAAGCGATTCTCCTGCTCCAGCCACCCAAGTAGCTGGGATTACAAGTACCCGCCACCACGCCCGGCTAATTTTTGGATTTTCAGTAGAGACAGGGTTTCACCATGTTGGCCAGGCTGGTCTCGAACTCCAGACCTCAGGTGATCTGCCCGCCTCAGCCTCCCAAAGTGCTGGGATTACAGGCATAAGCCATTGCGCCCAGCCTGTATCTTTTATTACTAAAGTGGTACTGCTAGTACCTGTCTCAGCTGGCTGTTAGGAAAATTGAAATGCTACGTATTGAAATGTTTTGTTCAGAAACCATGCCGTTCAGCTTCCATCCTCCTCAGCCAGCTGAGAGGACAAAACTGGTTCCTAGAGATGGAGTACAGGAGTAGGGACAGAGATCTTGAAAAGAATGTCTAAGAAAAAGATTGCTGTACCTGCTTATCCTTAGAAAAGAAAAGCCAAAGCTTTATTGGAGGGAGTATAGGTGAACTAGGGAGAGACGCAAGTACTTCTGCTGAGTTGGGAGTGAGAAACAAGCGGAACAGATGCAGTTGTGTTGATGATAAGGCATCAGTTAGAGCATTTTGCCCAGGTCAAAGATGGGGATTTTGATATAGGTTCCCTCTTGGCTTCCATGTCCCGACAGGTGGATGAAGACTACATCCAGGACAAATTTAATCTTACTGGACTCAATGAGCAGGTTCCTCACTATCGACAAGCTCTAGACATGATCTTGGACCTGGAGCCTGGTGAGGCACCCTCAGGGTTGTTTTGTGTGTGTGCATGCACTTTTTTTCTCTTCAAATCTATATTCACTTACTTGAATTTTGAAATTTCCTTTGGTTCTCTGATTTCTTTAACCCCAAATTCATGCTTTATTTTGATCCTCCACCTGACTGTGTCTAGTTTTGTGACGTATATCACTTGTTCCCGTGTTTTCTAAATCCACAATTCAGATGTTTTCCAAAATATGTTTCCTCATGGGTCTGGTTTGCTATTTCTCCTGCTTTGCACCTTCCAGTCTAGAGTTTCATCTTCTGCATCGACATTGTTGCAGTTATGTATTGAGGAGGCAGCTGGGAGGGAGAGTGGGGAGCAGAGGCTAAAGAGGTGTGAAGAGAAGACAGAGCTGTCTTGGGTTGGTGCAAGGGTCAGAAGCCCAGGTTTCTGGGTCACATGCCCAGATGTTGGATGGAGTAAGGCCCAAAAGTAGGTGCCAGGCGAACTGAATAGCCCGCAGCCCCTGGATATGGGCAGGGCACCTAGGAAAGCTGAGAAACAAGTGGTTGCATTTGGCTGGGCTGTGTTTCAGATGAAGAACTGGAAGACAACCCCAACCAGAGTGACCTGATTGAGCAGGCTGCCGAGATGCTTTATGGATTGATCCACGCCCGCTACATCCTTACCAACCGTGGCATTGCCCAGATGGTGAGGCCTCTCTGCTCCTAATTGCCTCTTTCTGAGCAGTAAGGGACACAGGTTCCTGCAGCAAGAAGTCATGTTTAAGCCCTGTTTAAGGAAACTGGCTGAGAAGAGGAGAAGAACCCCAGGCTTGGGCCTGGGAATTGAATTCTGATTGGGGGTCATCCTGAAGGGATAATTTTCAGGGAGGGAGACAGTCCTTGAACAGAGAGTTGTGATAGACTGCCTCTTCCTCAGGGAACAAACAACGAATGGCTCTGATGGTTTGTAGCCTGCCTAACTGGAAGAAAGGCAACATAGGAGTTTGAGAGCCCATCTGGGCCAGAGAAGGGGCCTCTGGACAGAGGTGGGAGGAGTGGGCGACAGAGTGATATGGGTTGAGCTGAGAAGGGAGTTGCCTCTTCTCTTCACACCTACCTGCCAACCCCTTCCATTTTATTCACCTCAGTTGGAAAAGTACCAGCAGGGAGACTTTGGTTACTGTCCTCGTGTGTACTGTGAGAACCAGCCAATGCTTCCCATCGGTGAGTGTTGAAGAAGGGAAAGGAAGGCACCTTGTGGCAGTCTTACGGGAAGGAGTTAGAGCTCAGCATGTTGGAGCCTGAGTCCTGAGGGGAGGTTAAGTAGGAACAGGGAGATACCTGGCCTGCTGAGTCTGGCTGTCTCCCAGGCCTTTCAGACATCCCAGGTGAAGCCATGGTGAAGCTCTACTGCCCCAAGTGCATGGATGTGTACACACCCAAGTCATCAAGACACCATCACACGGATGGCGCCTACTTTGGCACTGGTTTCCCTCACATGCTCTTCATGGTGCATCCCGAGTACCGGCCCAAGAGACCCGCCAACCAGTTTGTGCCCAGGTAGGGAGCAGGGAGAGTCATTAAGGGTCAAAGGAAAGGCCTAAGATCCCCCAGAGAGAGGGGAGGATGGGGCATGGCCCTTTCTTGAGGCCTGCTTCTCCCAGAATCGGCATCTCCCTGCGGAGTGACTGTGGGAAAGTTATTTGATTGTCTGTGCTTTAGTTACCTTATCATAGAATGTTCTTGAGCTGAGAAGTTGGGAACCACTAGGCTTAAGCTCTGAGCAGGTCCATGGAGGAGTTCAGGTGGGGAGGTGGGAATGCAGGTGACTGGCAGGGTCTGGATGGGGCTCATGCTACTGCCTCTCTGACCTCTGCCCTGGTCCAGGCTCTACGGTTTCAAGATTCATCCGATGGCCTACCAGCTGCAGCTCCAAGCCGCCAGCAACTTCAAGAGCCCAGTCAAGACGATTCGCTGATTCCCTACCCCACCTGTCCTGCACTTCCTTTCCTTTTTGCCACCCTTTCAGGAACCCTGTATGGTTTTTAGTTTAAATTAAAGGAGTCATTATTGTGGTGGGAATATGAAATAAAGTGGAAGAAAAGGCCATGAGCTAGTCTGCTGGTGCTTGCGGTTGGGGAAGGGAAGGTGATGGTGTGTTGGACTCCAGGGGCCCTCATGGCCCAGCCCACCCTCCCCAGATTGAAAACCAGGACAGATTTGTGCTCAGTGAATTGGGTGATGTTTTTAGTATAGAGCAGAACAGAATTCCTAGGACTGTGTGTGATGAAGTGCAAGGTCAAAAGGAAAAGACAGAAAAAGCATGTTTTAAAGATGAGAAGTATTTGGATACCTATGACTGTCTGTCTATACTGTAAGGTGCTTAATCAGCAACTCCATCTTTTAGTTTTAAAGGAAAAGTAGCCCTAAAGTCAGTATAACTAAGGGTGGAATGAGGTGGGACAAGGTCCAGAATTACTGCTCAGTGATGTGTGTGTGTGCTGCCTGCTGGGGGAGCTGGGACTGCCCGTCTCAGAAGGATGGGGATGCTTGATTTCCAGGCCAGGTTGTCTCAGCACAGTGGGGACTGGCCCTGTTATATGAGGAAGACAGCACATGGTGGCAGAGATAGACACTAAGCCATGGACTTTCCAAGGGAGGGAGTAGGTCTTTGGAGGGTATGCAGGACAAAGGTAGACACTGGATAAAGAACCAGATAGTGCCCAGATATTACCCCGTCTGGGCCATTGCTCCCACACTCAGGAACCAGACGTTGTGGGTGAGGACATGCTGTCCCTCCTGCCAAGTTAATAACTTCCTTCCCAACCAGGATCCTGCCCCAAGCAGGAATATAGCTCTGCATTTACAGCAGCTCCTCAGACCTTGTCAAAACCACCCTGCAACTCAGGATTAAGGAGCGTGGTCACAGGAAGGTGGGGTTTCAGGGCATCCCTCAGGAACTGCCCGTCTCCCCAGAATTCCATAATGAAGGCCCATATACTCGTAGGTGTGCTGGTCATGGTGGGCTTCACAGTGGGAAAGGGTAAGTGGGGCCCAGGGGCAGGGAGGGAGGAAGGGGTAATTGAGTTCAGGAAGGGGGTGGAATGTGGCTATGGATACTTGGGCTTCCTACTGGCCCAGGGTATTTGAGAGTGACCCAGTACCCCATCCCTCCTTCTGCCTTCCCAGTTCCTGTTCCCGACATCCGGACCTGCCACTTCTGCCTCTTAGAAGACCCTTCTGTAGGATGCATTTCAGGCTCAGAGAAGTGTACCATCAGCAGCTCATCCCCATGCATGGTGATCACCATCTATTATGGTAAATAAGGTCCCAGGAAGGGGCTGCTGGTGGGGCAGCCAATGGCTTGATCTTTCCTCTCACAGATCAGGGCTGCTCCGGGCATGGGGTACAAGAAAGGAGGGGCTGAGTGCAATGGCTCATGCCTGTAACCCTAGCACTTCGGGAGGCTGAGGCAGGTGGATCACTTAAGCTCTAGAGTTCAATACCAGTCTAGGCAACATAGTGAGACCCTGTCTCTACAAAAAAATAACGAGGCATGGTGGTGTGCACCTATAGTGCCAGCTACTTGGGAGGCTGAGGTGGGAGATCTCTTGAACTCAGGAGGCGGAGGTTGCAGTGAGCCAAGATTGTGCCACCACACACCAGCCTGAGTGACAGAGCCAGACCCTGTCTCAAAAAAAAAAAAA